CATTAGATGTATACTCACATAATAGGATTGATGAGAGAAAACTCTTTACTATTCTATTTTTAATGATAATTTGAAATAATATGGTGAGGGTCAAGAAACTCAATAGAGCATTCTCTAATCAGACATAGATGTACGTATAATCTCAAATTGGAAGAACTTGAAGTAAACTTGCAACAATATAGAAAGATAATGAAATTGCAAACTTAGAAACCATAGCTTTAGTCAAAATAAGAGTATGAAGGGCTACTTATACTTAGGTACGTTTGATCCTTTTTGGAAGAATAAAAGGAAATGGTTGGATAATGATTACTGAGATCTTGAAGCTGTCAACCATCTGACAATTTTAGGGAAAGATCTTGAAGTATAATGAATAGGAGAAACATTAACTATAGATGCTTTGAAAGTGAGTGATTAAACTATGGGGAACCATGATCCATAGGAATAGATGGTAGCAAGGAAATGATCCCAACCAGTGGAATAACCTGATATGAACTTGATCTAATTCTCAAGGAATCATCGTTAAAGTAAAAAAAAAGGAACAATCGTTAAAGTGGATGGTGAGGATCAAGTCGGGAACATGGATAGTGAGTTTGAATGCGTACAAGATTGAATCAAAGAAAATAGAGATGCTAACAAGAAAGCTTGAGTGACAAACAAATCTGGTGGTGATGTTATTCATTGTGAAGTTGATGGGTTAGAGCTCATGGTAGGCACAATATGTCAATGTTAAAAGTATTGACGACTAAATAGGAACCCCTAGAGGAATTGTTGGAATGAATGCGAAACAATTAACTATAAGCAATTGGGGTGTGAGTCAAGTTGACTCATGAGCCGGCTCAGGCTCAACTCAATAAATGGCTAGTGAGCCGAGCTCGATGAGCTAATGAGTCAAGCTTGATCAAGCCCAGACTCGACTAGTTAGTTCGCGAGCCGGCTTGTTTAAAGATATTAATATAAAATATTATTAAAATATATTAGGATTCAAGATTTTAAGTACAAAATTATTGAAAATATTTGAAAATTATATTCATTTCCTTATATTAAGTGATTAGTTATATTAAACAAAATAATTTATCATTCTTTTTACCAATTTATTATAATAATTATTTAAATTATAATGATTTTTTCTCTTTCATAATAAATGAGCCGGCTCGTGTGCCAGCTTGAACTCGTTGAATGAAGCTTAAGCTCAAACTCGATTAATTAATGAAGCTCAAGCTCTATCTAGAGATGACTCGAGCTCGACTCAACTTGTTTGCACCCCTAATAGGCAACGACAAGTAGGCTCATCGCTAGGGAGATCACTAGTTAGCGAGTGAGGAAGGACTTGAACACTTGCTTGGAGCACTTACTGAATGCCACCGAGTGTGAATGTGAGAGGTGAGTGGTATGCAATAATCAAGCGTATAATTGGCTAACAATCTTATTACTTTCTTAGTTTGGGGGATAAGATGGAAAAAAGGAGAAGGATAAATGACTTAAATAAAATCATACATAGTAGAATGGTCTATATGATTTTTTTAAAAAGGAATTTGTTTCTTTCTTTTCTTTTTTAAATACATTAAAGGACCTATATAAAACTTAAGAAAATAAGGATTTTGTTAAGCTTGTTTTTTAGTTTATATGACTCCACTGATATGTAGTTCAAACTTGAGCGATCAGAAGTCATTTACCCTACAAAATATATGCATCAAAAATAGGATGCTTGATGAGGACATCCGACTATGGAAAGTCTTCTAAAGAAGGGGTCGACGATCTACGATCACGATCGCACCACTTCATTTTTGAGCTATCTTGTATATTAGGTTTATTATTATGTGTGTATTTGATTTATTATCGCAATTTTCCGTTTTTACCCTCACTTGAGAGATTAGTTGTTTGTGACCCTTAGGGGCACTTTTATTTTTTGGATTTTCTACTGTAACTTAGCTATTTATAACCCCTCTTCTTTGGAGAGGGCAATGATGAATATTATGAAAAATTTATGCACTTGTGTTTTGGTGAGTTTGAGAGCTCTTGTGAGAGTTTAAAGTCCCTACGTGAGGGCAACGTATTACCCACTAACTGCAGGAAACATTCGGGTTCGTGGTCCACCTTCTCCACCCTCTCAGCCCCGGCCCAAAGCTCCTCCTCCTCCTAGCCGCCGACCCACATGCACCCTTTCCCCTAGCCGCCGACAATAAGCCCTCCATCTTCTCCTTAGCCACCGACCAAACTCCACAATCCCCCCCCCCTTAGCTTTCGGGCATAATCCCTTTTCCCTCCTTACTCGCCGGCCACCCCTACTCTCTAAGCCGCCGACAACACCCTTCCTTGGCTCCAAAATTTCAAAATTTGGTATTCAAAACCCTTCCTAAATTAGCTCATTTTAACTTTGAAAACTATTTAAATTCATATTCAATTGAATTTGAACTTGAATTTTTTGTCATAAATGAGGAACCTTATTTTAGAAAAGTCTTTTAAATCATGTCTATTTGAATTTTAAATAGGATTTGATTTAGAACATCCTTTCCTATTTCAGGATTCTAAATAGAGCAAGCATTAACTCCTTCACTTAACACTCCACTCCCCAATCAAGCCGCCGTTCCTTCCCTCCTTCTCTCTCTCCTACATTATCTTCCTTTCCCCTTTGGAAGCCTAATCAATCCCCTCATCAAAGGGCCGTCCCCCTACTCTCCTCCTTTTCCCTCTTTGTATTGGAAATTCAAATTTCAAAATTTCCAATCCACTGCCCAATTAACTATGAAATTAAATTTCAGTTTTCAAAATTTCCAATCCACTGCCCAATTAAATCTGAAATTAAATTTCAGTTTTTTAATTTACTTTCCCTCCCTAGTCAACCCACAAAATCTAAAATCAAATTCAACCCCTCTCCTAGCCTTGATTGACCACCCAAGTTCCTCCCTCCTCCCCCCACATCTCTTCTCCTATGCTTGATACTTCACCTAAGGAAGAAGAAACAAAACCTCTCTCAGCCTCCTTACTCATGAATGGGCGATCCTGAACATGATCACAGTTTCGTATTCGACAACCAATAGTTCATCGACATCCACCGATCTCCGTTCTTCGACATTGACTTAAAGAATGACCACTCCGTTGAAGACTGTATGTAAAGAATCATCTTCTTCCTTGCCATTGCTATCGACCAACGACAACCTCCCGTTCAGTGGCAACTTACTTCCGAATCCCGACAAAGGTGAACTCTCTCCCAAATCTTATTTCTTCCAAGTCCCTCTCAATTGTGGTATCACGAAGATCTTGCAACCTTCCTCTGTTTAACCAATTATTAAAGATTGAGAGTGAGAGTTCTTAAATAGTGACTATTCTAAATGTTAATTAAGAGATTTTTTTTGAAAACCCCACATTAAGCAAAATCTGATTTGATCCGTTATTTTTTTGTTCTAAATCTTTATCATGTATTTTTTTGCTTGAACTAAATCATTGCTTTAGTGTTTTCATTCGTCGTTTGAATCGTTGGAAGTGATTAATTGCTCTTGCTCTTTCAAAAGCTTATAATTTCAAAGGTAAAACATCAACAAATACATTTTAGGTCTACATCAATGGTAGTGCGGTGGTATGTTGTGATATTGTCTTCATATATATACCTGCTCACTTAAAAAAAAAACCTGCTCACTTGTAAATACGTTTGTTGCATACATAGTTGTCAATGACGCAAAATAGCGTGCTCCATGGCGCACAGCGCGACGCGGCGCACCTATGGCTAGGGGTGTCAATTCGGGTAAACGGGCCGGGTTCGGGTCGAACCTGGAACTGACCCGACAGTATTCTGGTCAACCCGAACCCGACCCGTTTTTAAAAACGGGTCAGATTTCTGGACCAGAACCCGACACGACACGAATGACCCAGGGTTGACCCAAAATTGCTAGTTTTCGGGTAAAAAATTGGGTCAATCTTTGATTTTCAGGTCAAAAACGGGTCAATCTCGGGTTTTTGGGTCAAATATGAGTTTTCTTGTCACTTTCGGGTTAATTTCGGATTGCTGGGTCAACCTGAACCCGACCCAATTTTTAAAACGGGTTGATTTGTTGAACCCGAACCCGACTCGTTTTGGGTTCCGGTTGACCCGAACCTGGATTTTTTCAGGTCGGGTTCCGGTCGTGTTTCGGGTCGTGTCAAAAATTGACACCCCTACCTACCACGCAATGTGTTTAAAATAGTGCGCGCTATTTGCGCCACATGTGAGCCATGGCGCACGACGTAAAATAGCGCGCCAAATTGTTTAAATGTGATGTCCACCTCTTAAAATTAAAAAAAAAAATGCTCGGTATCGCTAGGTACATGCTCGATACCACTAGGTATCTTTCCATACAAATAACTTACGAACGTTAAAAATAAGTAGAACTTCAAAATTACTCTTACCCTAAAAATTTATTCTGAGGGCAGCGCCCCCTTGGGGTTGGACCCCTAGCAGCCCGGCATATTGTTGTATTCATCATCTTTAGTAATAGTTGTTAGTGTTAGTTTGCTTCTTCATGAGTGCATGCTTTGTATAAGTTTTCTTCATGAGTGCATGCTTTGATTTAGAGACATTGGACTCTATAGGAGAGGAGGAAGGGGTGAGAACTTTAAATGTGAATTCTTGTATGTTGGACTATATTGTTGTGAAATGTAAAGTTGTGTCATGTTGGATAATATTTTTTCATATTCATGCTTATTATTTTATAATTCTTATATAGTTTGCGCCATGTTCAAAATGGCGCGCGTTGCGCCGTGAGCTATGCGCCTTGGCTCCAAAGGGACCTTTGCGCCATGGTGCGCCATTCGCCGTTAACAGGTATGATTGCATATATTTGTGTAACTCTACACCCATGGGTTCATCCTCCTGGTTTTCTGGAACATAAATGAATATGATTAATAATATTTGGTATAAGAGCAGACATCATATTTTTCACCGTTATGTTGAATACATTATCCAATTTTTTTGTTTGATTTTAAACGACTGTACTCTTTAATAATGCTATATGTTTTTTTTTCTTCAGGTTGAAAATTTCTTAGACGATCTTCCCATCATGGCACTTCCAGGCATTGGGCATGCTTTAGGAGACAAGCTAAAAACTAGAAAAATTAGTACTTGTGGCCAGTTACGCTTGGTTTCAAAGGTTCTTCAAATATTTACTAATGTTATATTTTCTCTTTTTTGTATTTTTGTGTTATGATGGCTTTTGTGAAACCGATGTATGAACATTATGTTTTTTTTTTTTTCATTTCTTAATTTGTTTGTTGGATTCTCTTCTGAAAAACAAGCAGTTGGACCTGTTATTTTTATCTTGAATACCTTAAAATTTACAACTTCTCTCCAAAATGATTGTTGGTTTTAATTTTTACTAGGATGATTGTATGAGGTGTTTTTCATGTGGTAGCTACCATATTTTAAAATAAGAACAGTATTATTTTCTATCTTTTCTATCAATAGGTGAGACCAATATTGAGTTGAAGGATTAATATCATACCATCATGGCATCATGTCTGATCCCTCGTAAGCGCACATTGAGATTGGTGGAAAGTAGACATGAATTGCATCTTTTTTTCTAACTTGTTGTCATTGCTAGTTGATTTGCCGCTCCCCTACTTTCAATGAGCAGATAAACCTATTCAACATTTTTAGATTTCCTCCACCTAAAAATTTTTAGTAATTAGTTGTCACTTCACCTAAAAATACTTTTCTTAGAAGATGATATTCAACAAAGGTGGATGAGATATTTTGCTAAACTTTTTAATGAAGAGTGTGAAAATAAGATTGACTATAGTGACCTTGATTTTGTCTACTCTAGAATCGTACATCCTATGTCTAGCTCTATGTTGGTGCTTGGCTACATAATTTAATCTATGCTCCTTTAATATGGTTATAAGATGGTTATTTTACTCATGGCCTGTTGAATGAATGAAGCCTTTTCCTTGGCCAGGAATTTGGCATGTTAACGGATCCTTATATGTTTTTGCGAGCTGCTTCTGAAGAAGCTTGCAGTTAGAATAAACTATTTTGGTTAAAATTGAGTTCAATGTCCGTGATGTAATATAGAATTTGTCACTCCCTTTTTGTGGCTGGTTGAGTAATGAATCACAGGATTTAGATTAGATTTAGTTGTGTCAAGGTACTAGTACGTGATTGAATGGTGACCTCGCCTCAACATTACTATATGTATCTTAGTGACTTTAAGATGATTTTTTTCAGCTAGGTGAGTGTACAAAGAAAAATAACATGGGAAACAGGAGTGCCAATCCTGCATACAGCCACCTTAGGGAATTTAGGGAACTTATATAAGGTAGACATTTATTATTTTTGTATTCATTTTGAATTTTGATTTTTCAATGATAACTTTAAAAGTGAAAATACAGTTAAGGCATCCGCTTGAAAATTATTTGTGACGTTGAACAACTCGGGATTTAGAATCCTTATTGCATTTTTCTAATATTAGATTGAAAAATCATGCAAAAGCATTGGCAACTTAATCTTAACTAATTATTTACTATCTTTGGTTAAAATTAAAACATTATAAAAATCAAATAAAGCATAAAATCAATGGATTTATATCACAAATAATGGTTACTGGTTTTAAATTTTGGATTAAGAAAACCACTTTGGCCTAATTTGGTTGATATGTTGATTTCGCAAAAATTTGTTCAAGAGTAACTTTAAATAAAGAAGAGTATATTTTTTTTAGCTAAAAGCAACTGTATGTGTTTTGCAAAACTCAAAATGGTAAAGTATTTGTTTGGTTAATGTTTAGTCGTTGCTTTTTTAACATAAAAAAACTAATATGCCCATATATGTTGAGGCGAGTAAGGCGAAAGTGGGAGACGTATTGCTGAGATTATTCGTCTTTTAGGGGTATTTTCAACATTTTTTAGGGAAACCATGGACCACGCTAATTAAGCTACTTAGAAATAGCTTTTCAAAATGGTGTTAAAATGGAGTTCTAAAAGTTGCATTTTTCTATGGCTGTGCAAACAAACAATTCATATAATTTTTTTCAACATTTCTAAAACAAAAATTACTAAAAAAGCTATTCCAAACAGGGCCTCAAACTTTTTGAGCTTCATGCATTTAATGGAAACTGGATTTTATTAAACATGATTATAAAATTTATTATACTTTCAAACCAAGTAAAAATCATTTGAAAAGTAAGTTTCAAATCTATACAAAGAGATAACGTCTTCCATAATTAAAATCTTGAAATGGATGAAGAACAATCTGCATCCACAAAAAGAATTTTATTCACGCTATAAATTATCTTTCATGGCTCAAAACTCTTGAAGGAAGAAATAATTGGAAGTGTTGAGAGAAATTGAATCAAAGAGGGAGTATAAATGATAGATCTCCTTCTACAATTGTGAAGGAATTATGCTGTGTGCCCAATGAACCCTTCAACCATAAGTAGGAGCAAATCGAGATAGAAATTTGCAATCAGGATTCCAAGTTAACATGAAGAGGTTATTTAAAGCAATTGATATAGAATGCTGAAAGCCATTTATCCATCCAGCATCTAATACATTTTTCATTGTTGATCATCTGATATGTGTTGAGGAAGGGTTGAATGATTTCCTTATTCCCTTTAATGAAGCAAGAGCCATTCAGGGAGCACTTCTTTCCAAAATCCATTGGATTTGTAGCTTTAAAATATTTTTCTGGGAGAGTGTTGTAAGTAAAATAGTTTCATGATTTCATCATTGTTGATTGTTTTCCAAGCTCATTTGACTAGATGAGAGATGCTAAAAGATACTAGGTTAATCAAGACTTCCATATTTCTTAGGTCTTCGATTGTGTTTCAATTGATTAGATGAATACCTTAATCACCTATATTTCTCTTCTTGAGGAAGTTTTGTCATGATGGAATAAATTTTTTGAACCACTTAGGATGGTATCCAAAAATTAAGGAAAATAGTATAGAGAAAGAAGTGAAAATAAAGTTAATAAGAGCCCGCCTTTGCCCTCTGGAAAGAAATTTACCCTTCCAACCAGAACATTTTTTCTAGATAGTTTTAATGATGGGATTCAATAATTATTTCTAAATGGTTTTGGAGCCAACAATGATGGCAAGATATTTAAAAGAAGAGCTATCATAGCACCTCCCAAGGTCTTGTTAAGATAATCATCATGTTTAAATATTTTGCCAACAGAGATTGAAGAATATTTGTTAAACTTAACATTAAGATCATAAGTTTTTTGCAAATATGTGAAGAATATGTTTCAAATAATGTTTGCACCACATAAAAGAAGAGTTTTATCAACAAATTGAATACCATTAATTGATAGAGTTTTTTTGCCACTAATGACACTATCAATCTAATGATTATAAGCAATAATTACTAACTTTTTTTTGTAAGACATTCACCACAATACAATACCAACAAGCCTTTATCCCACTATGTGGGGTCAGCTACATGAATCATTTTTCTCCATCGTGTCCTGTTAACGATTAAATTCTTATCTAATTCTAATAAAGAAAGGACATTTTTAATATTTTCTAAGCAAGTCTTTTTAGGCCTACGTCTACCTTTCTTAATATAAGTCAAATCTTGAAGAAGTATGCGGCAAAGATTCAAGAGTTAGATACACTTCCACCGTCTCCTTGGATCAAACCAAAAGAGAACTCATCAGGAGATGAGTTTTTCAAGTAGGGGAGTATCTGATGCATGTAAGGGGGGGGGGGGGGCAAAAAAATAGGAGAATAGGGGGGGTCAAAACAATATGAGAATTTGTTTTCACCCTTGGACTGTTGGTGCTCTCGGTTTGGGCCTTGTTTGCTTTGATTTGGAGCTAATTTTTGGGATCTACTTGGTTCTAGCTCATAAATGCTTAAGTTGTGACTTTAGCTCATTAATTCAAAAAGGTTTCTCTACTAATATCAACTCATTATGTGTGGAAAAGTTTGGCTTTTCCCCTTCCCCTGTTGCCTTCTCTGTTTCCTCTTGGATTTTGCTATTCCCGTGGCCCCTGCCTGGTTTCCCGTGCTTTGCCCCTTTGTTTCCCGTGCTAGTTGGTTTCCCGTGCTTTTCCCCTTTGTTTCCTGTGCTGGCTGGTTTCCCGTGAGCTGCTGGGAGGGGATTTCTGTGCTCTGGTTCCCTGTTTTCTGTGCATTTTTGCTGCAGCAGATTTGCTGTCTTTTGGCATTCTGTTTGCTGTCTTTTAGCCTTCTATTTGGTGTCTTTTGGTCTTTCATATTCCCTAATATAGTGGTTGTTTAGCTTCTTTCTTTTCTTATAAATAGGAGATGTTTTGTATGAATAAGAGGTTGAAAAAATGGTATTTTTTGGATAAAATCTGAGGGTTTTCTTGGATAGCTTACGAGCTTGTTCCTGTTCTTGTTCTTCTACTACTTGGGAAGGCTTACGAGCTTCTCCTATCTTCGTTTTGGACTTCTTGCCTCATTCTTCTCTCCGCAAGTACCATTCCACTTGTATCCTTCTTCTCAAGCAAAGGAAAAGCAACTTTAGGTGTATTTTTATGTTTGTTGATGTGTCATTTGTAAGTCAAAGTTGTAAGTGTCTTTATATGATATAAAAGGTGTCCTTTTTTAGTATTTTATGTATCTTCTAGTTTCTAGGAAGAAAAACATTTGCTTTGCAAAAATTTGGGGCCCTTCCCAAATTTTTGCTCGCATCAATTTGGTATCAGAGCTAGTTAGTATATTCTAGGTTATTGAGTTGTGTTGTTATTTGAGTCTTGGTGTCGTAAGAGTTTTTTGAGCTTTTTTTTGAGTCTATATGGATAGTTGATGTGATACATTATGTGATAAACAAGAATTGCAATTAAGATATTAATAACTTGTGAACTTGCATTGCTAATTTTAAACAAATGCGTTCCAAGATAGATCATAAGAAATTTCCATGGAAGAACTAAGCAATGTCAATCAATTACATTTAGAAGCAGCATGAAACAAACAAAATTAATCTAATAAATAAGTAATAAAGCAAATGACTCTTAACAAAAATCCAAGGCTTAAGATATAGATCCTTCACCTCGAAGACCCTCACTTTCACTCTTGGATTCACTTGGTTAGCGGAAGAGGATGGCGCACAAACTCAACGATGCCACTATTAGACAAGTAATGCCGAGGGGGCTAGCCGCCGGGGAGGAAGTCAGATTTGGAGAAGATGGTGGACGCCCTTTGATGATCCAATCGTCTGCCGGAAGTTGCTCGTCGATGACGTCCACGAGGGTGGGAAGAATACGGTTCAAGTAATCCTAGACGGTGTGGTCGAAGCCGAATCCGGCGTCAAAGAACGGCGATCGAATGACGTCAATGTCGCCTTGATGATAGTATGCAAAGCCGTGATCACGCTCCGGATCGGCCATTCATGACTATGAAATGACCTTGCGGTGTGGATGATTTTGGCGGTAGAAGAGTCTTCTCTTGGTGGAACTCGGCCAAGCAAAGAGGGGTGGAGGTGGGCTCGGGTAGAGAGAGAGAAGAATAGGGGGAGGGGCGGGTAGATCCACTTAGGGTTTGAGGGATTTAGGAAAAAACTGAAATTAATTTCAGTTTTAGGAGAATTTGGGGGGAGATTAAATGGATTTGAATTTTGAATATCAAGCGAGGATGAGCAATTAAGGGGGCCATTAATGTTTGAACCCCCTAGGGGCCGGCGGCATGATTAGAGGGAGAGGGATTAGGTGGGAAGAGAATAAAAGCTGAAATTAATTTCAGCTCAAGTAAAATTTGGAGGGAGAATATTTGAAATCAATTTTGAATTTCAAATAAGGATGAAATAAAAGAGACTTAATGGGGAAGAGAGAGGAGAGAGGGGCCGGCCATGTATAGTGGTGAGGTGGCTTGAGAATTTAAATGAGTGGGGACTACGAGGAGTTAATTAAACATAATAAAAATCTGAATTTTAATTTCAGAATTAATTATATCATAAGTAACTCCAAATTCAAATGAAAATAAGAGGGAATTTAAATTTGAATTTCAAATATGTGTAACTCCTCTTAATTAATTTCCCAAATTAATATGGCTTAATTAGGAAAGTCATTAAGAGAGGGGAATTCAAAATTCAAAGAGGAGAGCTAGAGTGGGCCGGTGGCAAAACGGGTCCAAGGGTTGGCCGGCGGGCTGCTGGTCGGCTGTTGGCCGACGGGTGGGGTTTGCAGGCCGGCGGCCTGGGCGGCTCAAGGGGGAGGCGGCGACAAGGGGTGAGGGGAAGGGAGGAGGGGAATTTCTAGGGGTTCGATTTGCTATAATTCCACTCACCTTAATTATCTTCAATCTGGATCTCCACGAAAATAACTTGGCGAAAATTTAGAACTCTCGAAGAGAAAAATAGTTTGGCAAGAAACTAGAACTCACAAAGAGATCTATCTTCTCCGACGAACTCACTAAGAGATCGAGGAGGGTTGAACTCACAAAGAGAACATAAGAGGCAAATTTTCATTCATCAATTCATTATCTCATACAATGCATGAGGCCTCCTATAAATATGCCAAAATGAAATAAAAACTAAAAGACATAAATGCCCTCGGGGCTACAAGCCTACAATATCAAATGATCACCCATAAGGGTAAAACAATAAAAACTAAAAAATAAAATAAACTACTACATAAAATGACTAAAAATATAAACTCCTGATCGTGATCGTCGATCTCCGATGGTACACATGTCGAAATCTCTTACGATGTCCTCATCAATAGTCCATGTAATCATCCTTCAGATCCAGATTCAAATGAGTTCCAAGGAGAATTTGACCCCGCCAAAGGTACATATGAACCAACTATTCTGGATGTGAAGATTCCAACTGTAGAAGGGATTCCATCGCAAGAAAATTCTACAAATCCCCTACAAAACGAGTTGTATATAATTCAATATCAAATGTACTTGTGTTCAAAGAAATTCGAGCAGAGAAAGAAATTTCTACAAGAACAATTCAAGAAAGAGTGAGTTGAAATCCTGAAGAAGTATGCGGCAAAGATTCAAGAGTTAGATGCACTTCCACCGTCTCCTCGGATCAAACCAAAAGACAACTCTTCAGGAGATGAGTTTTTCAAATAGGGGAGTATCTGATGCATGCAGGGGGGGGGTCAAAACAATATGAGAATTTATTTTCACCCTTGGGCTGTTGGTGCTCTCGGTTTGGGCCTTGTTTGCTTTGATTTGGAGCTAATTTTTTGGATCTACTTGGTTCTAGCTCATAAATGCTTAAGTTGTGACTTTAGCTCATTAATTCAAAAAGGATTCTCTACTAATTTTAGCTCATTATGTGTGGAAAGTTTGGCTTTTCCCCTTCCCCATGCTGCCATCTCGGTTTCCTCCTTGCCCCCTCGGTTTCCTCTTGGCTTTTGCTGTTCCCGTGGCCCTTGGTTGGTTTCCCGTGCTTTGCCCCTTTGTTTCCTGTGCTGGCTGGTTTCTCGTGAGCTGCTAGGAGGGGATTTCCGTGTTCTGGTTCCCTGTTTTCTGTGCATTTTTGCTGCAACAGATTTGCTGTTTTTGGCCTTCTATTTGCTGTCTTTTGGCCTTCTATTTGGTGTCTTTTGGTCTTCCATATTCCCTAATATAGTGGCTATTTAGCTTCTTTCTTTTCTTATAAATAGGAGATGTTTTGTATGAATAAGAGGTTGAAAAAATGGTATTTTTGGATAAAACCTGAGGGTTTTCTTGGATAGCTTGCGAGATTGTTCCTCTTCTTCTTCTTCTACTACTTGGGAAGGCTTGCGAGCTTCTCCTATCTTCGTCTTGGACTTCTTGCCTCCTCCTCTCCGCAAGTACCATTCCACTTGTATCCTTCTTCTCAATCAAAGGAAAAGCAACTTTAGGTGTATTTTTATGTTTGTTTATGTGTCGTTTGTAAGTCAAAGTTGTAAGTGTCTTTATATGATATAAAAGATGTCTTTTTTTTAGTATTTTATGTATCTTCTAGTTTCTAGGAAGAAAAACATTTGCTTGCAAAAATTTGGGGTCCTTCCCAAATTTTTGCTCGCATCAATAACTCTTCTTTGAAAGCTACGATTTCTATAACAGAAGTTGTAGAGATAAGACAGAAGTTGGATGGGGTCAATGTGGTATTTATTATGACCAGATTAGCTAACTCCGGACAATTTTTGCTATATATAAGTAGAATTTGAGATAGCTTTAGATGCATGATGATGCACAATCTTGGTAGTAGGTTAAAGGGAAAAATAAATATTAATAAGAATGATACAACTAGAAGTACATAGCATCTTGTAGTTTGTGTTGCTATTCACATTCAATTACCTAAAAAAATTATGGTCTTGATACAAATTCATTGCATCACCACAGGTATGTTGTAGACCGTTACAAGTGTTTGTGATACAACAGATGATAATAAGTCTCTGAGCCTGAAATGATGTACTTGTGAGATCATTGATAAGATGAAATATGATGCAATTCCCTATCAAATGCTCATTGTTTTGAGCCTTTGCTTCTGTTAAATATTTTTATAACTCAAGTTGAACTTTAGCATGAATGCCTGTAATGTTAAACGTTACAGTGTTAAAATTTTAGGAAATCACAATTTTAGGAACTAGTTATTTGTTTGCTTAAAGGTTTTATCCAAGTTTAGCACGTGTGTGTGCTTATGTATTATTCTTGTAAAATTTTGTAACCAGTGTAATTGTATGACTACATAGCCCTGTAATATCAAGGCCGCCACTACATTGTTTAGGATTTTTTTGGCATGAAGGTATTGTTTAGCTTTTTCTAGTATTATAATCATGATTTCAAGTTCTTTAATAATTACACTATTAATAATTTTTCATTTGTTTAATGGTGATGATGACTTATCCTTGTTGTCATTTAGGCAACTCTTCACAAGGACTTTGGGGTAAAAGTTGGTGATATGCTTTGGAATTACTGCAGAGGAATTGATGATCGTAAAGTTGAAGTTCTAAAGGTTTGTCTTTGAACATTCTATAGAGTTTTAAACCTACTTGGCTGTATTTCTTTTAGTTATTCAGGAAATCATGATCTTTCAAATTTAGTTTTTCTTATTGGTGGGGGCAAGAAATATAGGGAGCCTATACCCCTCGCCCACACGAGAGATTTGTGTCCTTAAGCCGACGACTTCCCACTAAATCACGAAAGATGATGACTAAGATGAGGAAGAACAAACTCTTACATTTCAATTAAACTAAAAAGAAGAAAGTAAAAGACTACAAATGACGATCTAACAAACTCGAATCGAAAATCAAAGACACCCTAAAGTTGCTTTACTTAGAGACGAAAGATACAGATGGAGTGGCACTTGCGGAGAGACGAAAGAGATTAGAAGCCGAGACGAAAGATTGGAAAGAGCTCGCAAGATTTCCGGAGGGAATGAGAAAGAAGACGGACAAAGCTCGCAAGCTTTTCCAATGAAACCCGCAGGTTTACATTTTCAAAAATCACATATCATTCAACTATTTTTAAAACATAACAAGCCCCTCATATTTATAGGTATGAAAGGGGAATACAAAAGGACACTAACAGTGAATTCACATAGGAATTCTAAACATCACAAACTTTAAAGCCCAAATGCTTTTCACAGAAAAACAGCCCAAGCCCAAGAACCGAAGGAGCAGCCGCGGGAGGCCGCACGGTACCAAGGCGCCACAACCACGGGAAACATCCCAGGCTCGGAAAACCAGCAGCCGGTCGGAATTCCAAGGGGCAAAGGCACAAAAAACAATAGCCCATGGTGGAAGCCACACATGGGAAACAACACTTCTTGGAATTCCAAAGGCCGGTTTGGAATTCCAAGGGACAAACATAATTAAAGACATAAAAACAATAAAAGTATATTTAATAAAAGATAACTATGAACTAAAATATTAGTTAATAATGAGCTAACCCTTAGTTCAATAAGTGAACTAAAGACCAGCTCATAAATGAGCTAAAATTTCAGCTCAATTTTGATTGAGCTTGTAGACTCGAGGGAGACCAAAATTGATTTATTTTGGACGTGAGTTGACCCATCCTTTGTCTACATCACTTATCTATGATACTCTCTGAAATATTGAAATTATTGCGTGGTTGTAACAATTCATTAAACCCAAAAGTCCTGGTGACCTGCAGTTTTTCCTGTTAGTCTTGTATTTAAGTTATAACAAAAAAAAAAGCTTTTGTACATCACTTGTATTATGAACACTTTAGACACTGGTAGATAGTTGAAAAAAATTTATAAGAGTGCAAGGTTTATGAGTTGCAGCTAAGCTGTGATCCTTGGCTATATGTTTTTCTGGAAATGATAGATGCAGAGCATACAGAATCTTTGTTTAGTTTTTTTTTTATTCCCTGAGAAAGGTTTTTGGCTTTCTACTTTCTACCATTTCCAATGCATAGATTTGGCCCCTTTGTTGTTCTGACAAACTGAAGGTCAAAAGTTTCCAGCAAATTCTTAAATGTTCTGTATGCTGCATGATTATGATGGTAATGGAAAAAGCTACGAGCCATGTATTTGATCCATGGATTGCTCTCTGTCAATTTGTAGTGCATGCCTTAAGAAGCTTCATTTTTTGACATCCTTGATGCCAAACAGCATCTGCTCATTGCATCCTTGCAAACAACTTTATATATTAGGTTGGCACTTGGCATTGTACCACTTGAAATTTAGCTAGAATGCCCCATGGCATGTGATGTCCCTTAATAGTGTTTCTGTGGTTGCATGTGCTGGCATTGAATTCCAGGACAATTGGACACAAACCAAGTTAACTTGATGCATTTTAAACAAGTTATTGATAACCAAACTATGCTTGGTAGAAATGAATGTGTGGCGAAATTAATAAGAATGGGCTTAGCTTTGAAGTAATCTCTATTGAAGATGAAGTAGTTTGAGCAGGTTCATTGACGTGTCAAAGTCTAGAAGATACACTGATAAAAGGTTGTCAAATTTTCTTGTCAAAGGATCATGAGAAAAAAGGTAATTCAATGTTAGTAATTGATAGAAGTCGTGCAAAAGATTTGAGCAAAATAATTTAATACCATGGAGCACTCAATAAGAACAAATGAAGAGTGAATATCTATAAAGATGATTCCAAACAGCTGGGAGAACCGTTGTGAAGAGGATGAGTATGGTGATAATATTTGTTTGCTCTATTTTACTGATTCTTTATATTAAAAAACTATCAACTGCATATTATATTGGCTGATAATTGTTTCATATGAAAGAAGATCTTTTGCTGAGAAACTTGTTTTTTAGAGGGACATATCCTGATTTGATTGTGATGGCTTTGTTCCTGGCCATCCTTTACTCAAAATCATAATTCTTTTCATTTCAGTTTTTATTCATTTATGTTTGATGTGCTTCACAGGAAACAAAATCTATTGGCGCTGAAGTGAACTGGGGGGTTAGATTTCGTAACACCATGGATGTGGGTATTTGTCCGAAGATAAGTTTTGCAAAATTTGTTGTTATCGTACAATTTTTATGAAGTATTTTTTTTACACCTCTTTTTTAGTGTGAACATTTTCTTAACAACCTTTCGAAGGAGGTTTCCTCCCGTCTGCGGGAATGTGGCATGATAGCACGCACTATCACTCTAAAGGTACTTGATATTATCTTGTAGAAATTATTATCTTCTATCTGACCTTGGTCTGTTATATGATTAATGGTAAATAATTTCTTTGACAGAGCCCCAAATTGCTGGCATAAGTTGTTATTGATGATAAACATGAATTATTGGTATTATATTCAGTCTGACAATATGGCTTTCTGCATTTGCCTGCCTTTCTTAGGTTAAAAAAAGAAGAAAAGGTGCAAAGGAACCTGTAAAATTCATGGGATGTGGTGACTGCGAAAACATTAACCGCTCTATGACGGTATTCACAAACCCATTGATCTTCCTAATTATTAATATTATCACAATTGCTTAGGTTCGGCTTTAAGAATTCTCATCCTCCATTCAGTTCTATTGAATGTCGATTGAAGTATTAAAATTATTTTGTACAAATCTCTTTATACAACTAATATTATTATTATTTTTGGTCTATCCCTTTGGTCCTTTACCTTGTCCGCATTAATTTTTATCTATCCATCGATGCATTTCTACCCTGTGCTAAGCAATTGATGCCTTCTACAAGTCATGCCAATTACACATTAGAAATATTTTTCTAGCAGTGGTTGAAATCCTTAACTTTTTAATTTTTACTTCTTCTTTACATTTTGATAGCTTCCAGTTGCTACGGATGATCCGACCTTGATTCTAAGGATAGCAAAGCAAATTTTTGCTTCATATCACATTGGTAAGTTCCAATTGAACGTTTTCATGCTCTGCTTTTATTACTTTTCTTTTTCATGTCAGTGGTGCATCAACCAATTGTCTTCCTGTATAAATAGGAGGTTCTAGGTTTTTTTTTTTTTTTTAATTTACGACTCTCATATTATTACTATACCAATCAGTGGAAAGCAGGCTATAGGCTTTGTATGCGTAAGCCTTAATGAGAGTAAAGATTTATTTTTGAAGGGGGAATTAGTCATAGGGAATGGAACTAATTTCATGCTTTAATAATAGAGGGTCCTCTAGATGCACAAGAATTCATTGACTTAGGAGTGCTTCTCTTAGTAGAATGGTTAGAGCGACATCTAGTAAAGGCTAATATAATTAAAAAAAAAGGTAATTTGGACATAGACAATGAATGATAGAAATGCATCATTCGATGAATATATATAGTTAGTTTCAGAGAATTAGGAAGGGAAGAGATGCGGTTTTGATAATATAAAAAGAAGTTATTTAAAATAGGTAGTACCTTATACAAAACTCAAGAGGAATGAATGAAAAAATCAGATTAGCAAAGCTGATGCCAAATACTTGGGATGAGGCTAATGATGATGATGCCCCTACATTTCAATAGGGGTTTAAACAAGTTGTCTGTTTGTGTTCAGATTATGTAAATATTTGTTTATTCGGAATCAGCTTGTGTTTGAAATTGTTCAGGAATAGCTGTTCGTGAACAACGAGCCTTTTTGATAGTTCTAAATTTTTGCTTTCCATTATGTTTTAGAGTATGCTAATCAATAGTTTTTTTTAATATGAACATTCCAATCTGATTGTGTCAATTTGTGGACCAATGTAAGATAAAAATGTTTAGCTCAAATTTCCTTTTTGGGAGAGATGTTATTAAAATTTATATTTGTGGTAAATAGATTGTTCATCTATCTCTTCATGAGAGCTATGAAGTCTGAGGGGCTATTTAGTAAACGGGATTTATGTAGGATTTGAGCTGGTTTTTATAAAAATCCTACCAAATGGGGTTTGAGAATCTTGTAAATCTCACGTTGAGATAAGTCCACCGTTACCCCATTGTTGGCGTAAATCCCGGGGTTCGACGGATTTACGGGACTTGGATGAAGAAGCACACGGAAGGGGAGAAAGATGCTTATGGGCATAACAAGCTCTTGTCTCGACTTTCGACTTGAGCAATGCGTTGAAGGGGGCTAAGAAGATTTTTTTTTACTCTTTCAAAACTATACTTCCCGAGATGCATGCGAAGAAGATGCACGCAAAGCAGAAGTAACAATCTATAGGAAGGGAGTTTGAGGAGTTGAAGAATGTAGCTCGTTTTAAACTCTTATGTCATCCGAAGCAGGCGAACTTGAACAAGGAAGAAGTGGAGAAGAGGAAAAACAAATAACATTTAAATATAACACAATATGTTTAATAATATTAATAACTCATTAAAGTAAAATTTAAACAGTTATATAAATAAATAGTTAATAAAATAATTAGTTATGTAAGTAATAATTAAATAATTATTAGTGTAATTAGTAATTATATACTTATTAAAATAATACTTAAATAAATAATTTAATAATTAATACTATAATTATGAAACCCTTCATGTAAAAGAAGCTAAACTTTAAAACATCAAGGCGTATTTTGGTATAATGGTTTGAATTTGCATTTAAGAAACTCCACAGTTAAGTATGCTCATCCAAGAGTAAATTCTGGGATGGGTGACCTACTAGGAAGTTACACCAACAGAACAAAATTGTGAGGCTCTTGTAGGGGCCAATATCTCGATAGTTAAGAGTTTGAGTTGTTACAAATGGTATCAGAGCAATACACCAGCTGGAAGATGGGAACTAAGTACTATACAAGACAAAGTGCTACGCTATGGGAGCCACCTCTTCAATCCTATATGGGACAAAGTGCTACATGACGAAAGCCACCACTTAAACTTATAGAGGTCAACTCTATAATCCTATCTGTCTAGTGGATGATTCTAGGATAAAGATGCTGACAAGAATGCCAGTTACTTAAGTGGGGGAGATTATGAAACCCCTTAAGTAAAAGATGCTAAACTCTTAAATATCGATGCATCTTTTGGTGTAATGGTTGGATTTCATTTAAAAAATTTCATAGTTAAGCGTGCTCATCCTAGAGCAAATTCTGGAATGGGTGACCTATTGAGAAGTTACACCAACATAACAAAACCGTGAGGCTCTTAAGCCAAAGGGAATAATATTTCGTTAATTAAGAGTTTGGACTGTTACAATAATCTATAATTAAATCATTAATTATATAATTTGATAATTAAGCTAACCTCAAATTATATTATTTATCATTATAATTTATTGATGGTAATTAAAATTTAAATTAATATAAAAATTTGATTTAAATGCAAATAAAATTTGAGTTTTTAATAAACTAACCATCTTAAATCCTAAGTTATATTGCCAAACATTCTCATTAAATAATAATTAACTAATTTCCATTTTAATTAGTTAGTAATAGAATATTTAAATACATAATTAGATAATTAGTAGTATACTTAGTAATTAAAAATTTATTTAAGTAATGCTTAAATAATTAATTAAATATTTTGTTGTATTTATAATAATTAAATAATTGTTTAAAATAATAATTAAAGAATTAATTATTAAATTATCAGTGTATCTAGTAATCTAATACTTATTATAATAGCATTTAAATAATTGATGAGATAATTAGTACTTTAGTTAATAATTAACTTATTAGTAGTTTTTTTTGTAATTAAACTTGCTTCTAATTATATTATTTATAATTATAACTTATGGACAATAATTAAAATTAAAATTTATAAGTAATTATTATTTAAAATGTTAATTAAATTTAAATCACAAATGAAATTTGAATTTTAATGAACTAATTGCCTTAAATCCTCAATTGCATTGCCTGTGATATCTCATAGGATTTAACAGTTATCTTGCCAAATGGTTTTTTAGGATTTAACGCTCATGATTTACTAAATTTGAATTTATAGAATTTATTGTATTCTAATAAAGTTAAATCGTACTTGTTGTCAAATAGGCCCCATAGAGAAATCAAAAGACCTTGTTGCTTTTATTTGCGGCATATTGTAACTGTGGCTCTGGGTGGGCTTTGTTAACTTACCTAAAAAATCTAGGTGGACTTTGTTAAACTTTTAAAATATTTCAATTTATTCCCAGATATGAAAATGAACAAATCATGCCTATTGTTGTTGAAGAATCAATTAAACAACTTGATAACACAACTCTTGAAGTATGCTAAATTTTTTTGCTAAGGTTTATGTGTCATACTAATATGAACTTTCTTTTAGTCCTTGATATCTTGATATACTAATTTATGACGAAATATTATGAACAAAATTAAATTGCATCAATATTGTTAATGATGAAAGTCTTCATGAAAGTTCAAAATTTAAACTCAATCTATTTGGTTACACCTAAAATAACACAACTAGGTTTTAAGCCATTTGGGTTAATTTTTTTTATTGAATTTGATCGCACATATAGGCATATCATATTTATGTGGTTATTTTTTATTTTATTCGGTTCATTATCATCTTTTCCTTTAAGAATTGGTGATGTAGCACCGGCATCCAATCTTAAGCATGGATATGGTGGTTAATTAGATTAAGATCAAGCAAGTAGATATAATAAAGGGTTGGATTTCCATTCCTTGTACACATGATTGACCTCCTCCCTTACAAGGTAAACATTTAAAGCACAAGATCGGTCATGAAAACTTCCAATCATTTTTCTTTCGTGCTTTGTCAGTACCTCCACTTAATGATCCTCTACATATGCTAAATCAAGTCCTGATCTCCTAAAAAGTTAGCATTGGCTTGCCTTCCTTGTTGGAAATCAAAATATGATCTTGTTAATGTGTCACTCTCTTGCCATAAAGGGCTTGTCTGACTCCTTCATGATTATAATTCAACATTTGTTTTATTTTATTGACCACAATGCTTCCAAATTTCCTATGTCCAACTCCTTTTAAATAAATCAAATAATGTAATTTGAAGTGGTCGCAAACCTTCCAAAAATATAATGGCCAACCATGTTTGCTTATTATATGTTATTTCCTATGTTTTATCCTCTTGTAACTTTATTTTATCGAAGAAATAATAGAGTTTTTATCAAGTATTTTGAATTGACTTGGCTGCTTCTTCTCCCTTTCAACATCTTGGATGGGACCTTTGTAATTATCTTTGTGTTTTTTTTCCTCTCTCCTATGTTGTTCCTTACAAACATCATTTGATTTCTTGCCTTGGCCAACCCTACCACCATTATAACATCATTGCCAGTGATGGGTTCTGCTCTGAAGATGTGAGTGATTTTGGAGATTCTATTTCCAGAGTTTTCCTTGCTTTTAAGATTTTGTGCCGCTTAGTATTCTCAGCTTTGATACGGAGGGAGAAGTGATGAAGACATCAGAGCACGAAAAGTTTATTAGAGGCGTGGTCGCCGATCTACGACCACGATTGCGCAGATCTATTTTTGAGTCCTCATATGTACTTATTTTATTTATTTGCTTTTGTATTTGTTTTAGTTGTATTTCTCTTTTTACCCCTTAAGGGTTTGTCATGTGTAAGCCCAAAGGCCTAAGTGGTCTTTTTATTTTCCTGTCCATTGTAGGAGGCTATATATAGCCCTTATGTTTTCTTTTGAAGGAATGAATAATAAAATTTCTGCATTTTGAGTTCTTGTGAGAGCTTGAGAGGTTTTGGGAGAGAAATCCCTTGGAGACGGAAGCGGATCACCCACCAACCTTGGAAGAGTCCGGGTTCGTGGCTAGTTCTTCGTATTTCTTTTCTTCTTTCTTCCTCCTTTCCCCTTCCATCCCACGGCTCCCCTATCCCAAACCACTGGCTCTCCAAAACCCCACCGTCGGCTACCTCCCCATCCCACCACCGACCTAGCCCCCTTTTCCCCCACTCCACATAGCCGCCGCCACCCAAAGAGGTTCCCCTTGATCGGGTGATCTCCTTAATCCCAACACTCCACCTAACCCTAGCCCAAGACGAGGGTGAACTTTTTCTCCTATTCAAATTATCTTCTAATCCTATGCTCTTGTAGGTTGTGATTCAAACACAAGGAGTCGTGCCAAGCTCTATGCCTTTACTTAGTAAACATAGGATTTGAGTTTTGATTTTCTATGTTTTCTAATCTCATTGTTAACCTAGGGATTCTATTGAATAACTTCTTAATTTGCAACGATTGAAATTCTAATTACTTTGGTGATTCTAACTCTTAGCATGTGATTTGGCCCAAGCGAAACCATCCCTCTTTGTTTTCTATTATCATTTAGTAGCCAACGTTCGTAATTATTAATTGCTCTTATTCAAAATGTGGAAGTTCTTATCACATTCATTTAAATTCTACTAAATCCTGCATTAAGAAGTGTGTCCCTTCAGTACATGTTAATGGTGCAAAATGGCATGCGTAATGGCACACGGCGCACATACGACGTTATTTGCGTCATGCTTGGGCAATAACACATGACGCAAGACACAAATGGCCCATGCTATTTTTGCTAACATGATTTAAATTTCAAATTATAAATTATAATTAAATTTTTTAAGGTTTATATATTAATTTCATAGTTAATTATTTAGTAAACATCAACAAAAAAATTTAAGGATTTAACTTTTTTGTAGGATTTGAAGCTATCATTTTTGCTATTTGGTGGGATATAGGCTAAATTATGCTTAAATCCTGCTCAAATCTATTGATGTATGTTTCTGTAAGATTTAAAGTTATCATTTTTGTTGTTTGGTCGAATGTATATGCTTAAATTTTGTTCTAATCAATTAATTATTTCTTGTTTAATGGTATTTAATATTAAAAATATATATGTTTTAATTATTTTATATTGTGCGCCGCCATGTTTAAAATGGCGTGCGCCGCGCTGTGCGCTATGTGCCATGCTCCATAAAGAACTTTGTGCCATGCTGTGCCATTCACCTTTGACATGTATGGTCCCTTCTCTGTGGAAATGGCTAATTTCAGTTGCCATTTCATGCAAAATAAAAGTTGTATGTCATTTATTGTTACTTTTATTTTCTTCATCACTTTTAGGTTGTGTACTCTTCAACTTTTATATACATTATAACCTACCTATCACTTCTTTTTTATACTGCTCTAATATGTTTTTGATCTTGTCTAGCTTTCAGAATGGTTTCAAAATTTTGGGCATTAGATATTTTTCCTGCCTTGTTACAGCGCTTAAGTTTTTCATTTTATGTAAATGGTTCCCTTTTTGTATGATATGGTCTTCAATTTAAACTAGAGACATGTTTACGAAACTTGTGAATTGTTGTTTGTGGCCCTGTTAAAATGGTGCATTTATCAACGCACATAAAAAAGGCTAATGCCTCACTTGGTAATGCTTCTTAGTTGCCTTGTTTTGCAAACATCTGAAATTGAATTTAGATTTGTGGGGGCAAGTTGCGACAGAAAGTGCAATATTACATGTGCACCTGGTTCATGATTTCACCACCGTGGCAACATGCATGTGCAGCATCTTGTTTATTTCTGTGAGAATATAGATAAAACTTTATTTTCTGCCAAATAGCACTACACTCGAACAGAACAAAATTACTAATGAAGCTAGGTTTGTAAAAACGCATAGATAATGTTTTCTTTATCTGCTTTTGGGTCTTCTGTTCAAAATGCCTTTCATGAATTAGAAACTCATCATTCAACTGTTTTTGTTAAAGATGCCAAGGAAGTTCGTGGTGTTGGCTTACAAATGTCAAGGCTTGAGATTGTGGATGGGAATAGGCAAGGTCTGATGAATGCTAACGTTGATCTTTGTTCAACTTTATTTTTTGAATTGTTAATATGCTCTAGCTATGTAATTGTGGAATTCATTTTTCTAGTTGCTTGGATGTATGAATGTTAGGAAAGTAGTTCAAATTACCTTCAACTATATTTTGAATGCCCGCATTTTACCAAAAGATTTCGATTAGTACATGAATCAAGAAAAATTACCCAAATCTATATCCAGAATAATAAATTCATATTGGCTCTTTATTACATTATAGGTTTATGATTGATCTTCTGTATAAATAGCTATCCTTCTAAGTGCTTCTGATTAGAGCATGGTGAATGGCATTCTATTGTTAAAAAAATGTGAAACTCTGAAATTCCTAATAATTAATATCTTAAGATTAAGAAACCAATTTATTACCCTTACAATCTCATGGAAACAAACAACCATCCAAACCCCATGCATATGAAATCCATGATAGATCCTTGTGAGTGTTCTTTTTGTTGAAACTCTTAATTTGTGTGTGCGTGCATTATGTTGATCTTTTTTGTATTGCTTCATGCTAGTATGCCATCCAAGTTAAAAAAATACATGCGCATATGATGCTATAGATGTTTTATATGCTTCATTGTTCACGTGTTGGAAGATGGGAGGGAAGGGAGCAATGCTTCTATTGGCAGTTGTGCTATTTCATTCATTTCTTCTTTGGATTTCTAAGGTCATGCGCAAAATGTTATTGAATCCTGGCTTAAGATACCTGCCAAGGTGGGAGAAGAGACTGTAGACAGCCAGAGGGTTGCAGCAGGTAATTGCTGATTTCTTATTATGTATAAGAGGACTTTTTGTTCGCTAGTTTTATATGTAGAATGTAGCTTTAGTCCAAAATGTTCCCCGTTTACATATGAACTATTTATTTAGAATGTGAAATGCTCTTTGGATGCACTCAGTTCTCACGCATTTCCAACACAATTGTTGGCAAAACAATAACGCCAATAACAATGCAACTAAATTTGAATAACAACTGAATTTATCAACAATGTTGAAGATTTTATTTTGAAGGAAAAAAAAAAAAAGTTACTGTTGCTTGAAATTTTGTAAGCATTAGCTTTTTCCTCTTAAAACTTGAGGAAAGTGATAGATTAATTTTATTTTAATGATCCTGTAGATAATAAAAAAGAGGAGGTAATATATTTAAATTTTCAAATCAATTTTAATTCAAAATAATTTATTACAAAATTACATTACCGTTTTTTGAAAATAATAATAATAAATCTCCACCTGCCCAAATCTCGTAACCGTCCTTTTTTCTCGTAACTGCCCCTTGTTCTGATTGGTAACTCCTTAATCCATATGACTTTTAGAAAAAAAAAAAGAGGTGAGAGACGAATGAAACCACGAGCTCGGCATAAAAGAAAAAGAAGTCCTGCGACTCTGCTTCCCGCGACCTCCCTGCGCATCTTCCTCTCCTACGTCTAAACTTGAAATCAACATTCCGTCCTCTCTCGCGTCTCCAACCCCTAGGTTAGCCCGGCTCATTTGTCCCGCTCGCTCACGCAACCTGCTTCTCTCGTGATCCCATACCTGCGCCGCGCTCCCATCTTCCATCTTCCGCATTCCCAGACCCATGTCCTGCGATCCGCTCAGCTCGCGTCCTGCGAATTGCCTAGCTCTCTTCTGCTCGCTTCTCGCGATCTGCCTAGCTCTTGTCCGCACGAAAGCCCGTTCCAACCTGCAGTCTGACTGCAACCTTGCTCCCGCTTCCATCCGACCATTGATCTACATGCAGCCCGTTATGTCCAGCGTCTCAGAACCCGTCTTGTGTCAAACCCTTCCTCTCAACTGTGTAGGCAACCAGCTTCGTCCTGCAACTTCAATCCGACGCCAAAACTGCGTCAATATTGTGCAAGTTCGACAACACTCAATAATCAATGAAATCTCCCTCAATTAAATGAAGTTAATTATAACCATATTACATGCATACGCTAAGACATGAAGACATCCGTTGTTTCTTTAATTCAGTCAAGAATGAAAATATTAAAAGACCCCGAGTCTGTTGTACCTTTGATCCGACCGGGATAAACAGATGCAAATGCTTACCGGACACCCTCTTAAGTGGGGGTGGGATGTCGGGAGGTTGCCAAAATTTTGAGTAATTCTATAAAAAAATATATAATAAAAATAAAATAAAATAAAATAAGAATTTTTATATTTTGAGCAAAAGGATAAAATTTAATTCAATTTAGGGGACGAAAAGAAAAATGAGATTTGTCTTTAACTTCAAATTATATGTGATGAAAATATGAATCATTAAATTATCTTATTAA